CTTCCGAACGTTTAGTGTCATCACGTTACTACTCGATGTTTTACATTCGCCTGTCTTTACTTTTAGTTGACTCATGAATTCGGTAATATCGACCTATCTGAGGGGGTCTCCAACAGCTTCAGTTGTGTCAGAATCAGTGAAACATTTGACAAAGTGAGTGCATTTTACTTCAGATACATAATTTCTTTACTAGAGTTTTGGAGTCTGGGCCAGCAGGCAGATTGTCACCGTCGTTGTTGGAAGCCTTCCTGTTGGGTGACTCGGGTGCTCTTCAGTTTGTGAACAGAACAGCAAGTTATGACCCGCAAAATGTACTCCACCTGCTCAGCCTCCTTCAGGAACGGGGATTTTTGTAGGCAAATTCATTGTGGTGCTCATTTTCCTTCAAGGTCGTCAACCAACTTTTCTATGGAACACTGGGAAAATCTATGCCATTTGCTGTATGAACTTATGCGAACACGTCGAAATCCACAGTGTTGGACTTATGCTGTCAAATTTTTGAGTTGGTCAGAGTTACTCTCTCTGATTTCGACACGCGAAAAGCTCGTATGTACATGTTTTCAACTTTCACGTCAACTTCCAGCTTGATGGTTTGTGTGATATTTTGATACCGTCCTATGAGTTTGACAAACCTTTGGAGGCATCCTGTGATTTTCTTGCTCAACCCCTATATTCTAAGTGAGTTTTAAAATATTATCATCCTATCCATTTCCACATCATGTAACGCGGTTCGAAAAATTAGGGAAAAAATTTATGATTGACTAACTTGAGGATGAAGTCACTTGCTTGAACTTACTTGAATGGATCGAAACCCTGCCCCGGCCACATAGGGGGGCGAGATGGCCCAAGTGGTTAGAGCGCGAGTTTACTGACCGGAAGGTCCGTGGTTCGAACCCGACCTCCGCCTCTCGACTTCCCTTGTCTACGCTTAGACAACCTGGCAGTATCCCAGCCCTCATGCTTGCTTCGGGTGGCATGGCAGTTTAGGCACCGAAAGGGTGCTACAGCTGAACGATGGTCTGGCCACGTATCGAACTGATCTAGAAATGTGCTCATTAAGAAATTCAAAGTATTGAGGAGATTCTATCCACTTGTGTTTCATCATCACCTGGTAGCTAACATTGAGATACATGCAACTCTAGTCTGCCGGTTTTTGCAATCGGAAAAGAGGCAATAATGCGCACACTGATTAGTGTACCCGCATTAAGACTGTCGCTTGAGTGTTGCTGTCGGTGATCTCTAGTGTCTCTGTTCACCTCAGAGAAGACATCCCCCTCCGGAAGATGCCACTTTGCTGGCCCATTTGGGTAACCTTCAGAGAAAGAAGTATACAGTAAACGAGTGTAGCTTTGTATTTTTGTCCGAATACCTGTGGAACCAACACAACGCCCCCCAATGTGTTTTGGTTTGTCACTTAGAGTGTGTTTTCGTCGATCGCAGTCGAAACTAATTGACTGATGCGCGGTCTGCTGTTGATTCAGTCAGGGGAATTTCGATGAGAGGGTTGGTATATTCAGACCGTCGCTGTGATTCTTTCAAAGCGTTCCACACAAAGAAAACAAGAACCCGCTACGACCACGAATGTCTTACTGGTGACAGTCTATCCATTCCGTTCATTGAAGGCTTCATGAATTCAGTAACTCACATGCCTGTTCCCTCGGTGTTCGAGGGAACCCTGGCCTTTACAACCACGACTGATAATATGGTCATCCTTTGGCTGGTCACATCTGGGAAGAGCATTACCTTTGAGGGAAGCCCTTAGATGGCACCCGAACGCTATCAGTTTGAGGTTAACTGGACGAAATAGGAGACTTGATAACGAAATGTTTTTAATAAGAGTGTTTGGTATTAGTGACAGCTCATGCTGATCACCTTGCGTCGGTCGTCTCGTTTAAAACCATCCAAAGAGTGGTGGCAGATCACTGAAACTTCTAAAGTAGGACCTGTTACTGGAGTGGAGTATCTTTTCCGCCAGAAAAAGTCTTTGCTGACGGGGAACACTGCACTACAGGATGTTCCTCCATATTTCTCGTTCCATAAGTTCATCTCTCCTTTTTGCATTCCCACCACACAGATTACTGGCATTGTGCTTGTCCAACTTCCTGTCCACACCATCCGTATCGACGTTAAAAATCGTTGTGCGGCTAACCACTTTTGGGCTGTTACTGGTTAAGCTGGCTCCAAGTACCTACCTTCCGGTCCTAGACCAGTTGGCGGAAGCAGTCCACGAGATCACCAGACATAGCTCCATGGATAAATTGCATAGCACCGACGCCGTCCTGCCCTCGTTCGAAGAGGCATCCAAACTTTCAGTCGCTGTAAGTGCTGCTTGTCCACATTTATTTCACCCGAATCTGACCTCACTGCGAGTTCTTTGGTTATATTGCTCATACCCTCCTTCCATTTTCCCTTTCTGTCTTTTTTTTCAAAGAAAACGTTGGGTATCCTTCTGTTTGTGCTGCCACGTGCGCCGTGTCAACTTTTGACCATATTGAAGAATCTTTTGGTACTGTTCCCACGGGTATGTTCACTAAGACACTTTAAACTCCGTTTTGTTCAGCGATTGGCGTTTTTCAAGTTTTTTTCTGAGGCATCATCTTTGGATAGCACTTCTTTCAGACTTGTTTCACCTCAGCGTGGGGTGTAAATCGGTACAGGCCCAGGGGTTTAGCACCTCTTCAGTAGGCTCACTCGGAGACTTAACGTTCGTGCCATGCTTAGCAGTATCTTAGGCTTGGACCTGAGTGAAGTCCTTCAAATATTATTTAGACGATGCTGTCATCTGAGGCACCTGACCAGTTCTCCAGAATCTGCTACACTGCAGCGGATACAGTTCGGCATCAATTTAACTTTTTTAATCCTGGTATGGATCCACTATGAGTGTCCTTTAAGTCAGTTACAGTCAGGTAGCAGGTGACCCTTTCAACTTGACATGAGCTCATTGGTTAAGGCCTGAAATTACCGATCGAAAGGTCCTCGGTTCGAACCCGCTTTCTGCGTCTCCACTGCCCCTGTTTAGGCTTGGGCAAACTGGCAGTATCTCAGCCTTCGTGCTTCCTTCAGGTTGCGTGCAGCTAGGCACCGAAAGGGTGCTACAGTTGAACCATTATTGTGATCACTATTATTAAGATATGAGGATTATTTATGTGGTTTACTTCAAAGCAGCCCCCACATTTCGGAGTGACAGGATGAACAAGGATATGTCTCATGTCGAACGTTTGACTCTGGCACACGGCGAGATCTCAGGAACCTTCTCTCCTAACAAGTTGCTTGACGTTTGTTGATCTTCAACTCAGCTCATGTTCAACTCCTGTTTCAATTGGCGTTTTAATGCAAACTCGTCAGAGCTTTTGCTCATATTCATAGGCTTACATTAGGGTGAACATCATGGGGTATTCCACTCGTTATTGTTGCCCTATTTGAGGACTTGTTTGGCGTTGTCACTCTGGACTACTAGCTTTTGTGACTGTGGTGCTAAGTGGGAGCAATACACTTACCTTTAGTGTTATATTGGTGGATTCGTTTTGGACCTCATCTGGTCCATGCTTCTGGAGCCTTGCATGTCGACCAAGCAAGTAATGAGATTCTGAAACTTCCTAACTTGGCCTTTTTTTAACAAGTTTGTTAGTTCTTTAGTTATGATGGTACTGCTTTTCACTGCCATCCCGACTGCATACCGTCAGGTTCAGTTTCCTGGCGCGGGATTTTCTACCGTTGCTCTGTCTGATGTTCATCTACTCTGCTCACAGCTGTTCGAATTAAGTGCAGCGAATTCCATCACAGCTAAGTCTCGCATCAGAGCTTCTAACTCAGCTCAGGTCGACGGATTGTAAATAAGACCATATCTTTGCTTGGTATGACAGTTTTGTAACCATCGGTCGTACACTATGACCTCTAGAATTCTCACTTCCATTTTTCGAAGCTTGCTGAGAAAGAGGAACGATTTCAGACAATCCTAAACATTCTGACGCAGGCTATGAGGTTTCCGGCCTCCGTCACGAACACACCCCCTTCAGCGTTGAATGATGGAGAAGAAAAGGAGAACAGTCCGCGTCTTGGCCAACCGGCGATTTTCGCTCTCCGTACATTGGTCAAGCTGACTGATGCTCTACCTCAGTGTGATCTCCCAACACAAAGTGAGCTTATCTTTGGCGATACTTTGTGTTCTGTTTGCGCAGTTCCGTGACACTGTCTCATTGCAAATGTCTTTCGTTGAGCGTATGGTGACGAGTCAATTTCACGGAAGAAAATTTAGTTTTTTAGGGCTTAAGTATAATAGATTTTTCCGGCACCATTTGGTTTTTATTCGGGTGTGCAGGCTGTCAGACTTTCAATCCCCATTCTCATCATCCTGGCTCTTAGGTCAGTGAACTGGTATCTCCTGAAAGCACTGACCTGACTCAAAGTTATCCAAGTTATCAAAGTTATCCAAAGTTATCCTAGCTTTCTACGCAAAGTGCCGAAATGTGGCATTTGGCGCATGAATGGGCTAGAATAGGATAATAGGTCGGGACGCGCTAGTCTACCTTATCCATCGTGGATAATCCGTAAAATCTACTAGGGCGATCGTTCCTATGGTTGGCTTAATTGTTCTACACCAATTTCACCTAGCCCACTAGGAAAATGTAGACGAGAAACTTAGTGGTACGTTCTATCTCAATTGTTCGTTTAGACTGAGAAGTAGAGCGTATGTGGTTGACGGAGATTCGGGGAATGAGCCCCAAGACAAAATCGGTGGTGCCCTGTCGGAGAGTTTTCAGCAACCTTGTGAGTGGTGCGTTCTCCCAAGTAGAGAAGCTCTTTAACCTAGCACGCTTTCGCCAGTATGCACTTAATTGTGGGGAACTCTCATGCCTCGATGCGCTCCTCGCCCCTGTATGTGTGGGGGTCGAACGTTCCACTCTATTCTGTAATGAGTGCTGTCCTGACAACTTAGTTACCGTTCTACTTAGTGTTTTTCAACTAACAGATGTGAAACGGTGGAAAAGTCCATGAATCAGCGTGAAATCACCCGATGTGTTCGACCGAACAGAACAGGCCTGACTAAACATGAACCAATAATTTCACCTATCCCTTCAACGATTTCCCAGGCCCTGCTTCCAGTCTGTAGTTTCAAGCTTGTCAACTGTCTCTTGCAAGCGCCTGCTATCGGAGTGGGGTGAATAATATCGCACTCCTATTTCCATCGCAAATTCGCGGTTGAGGGAGTAAAAGGCGGTTCACGTATGCTATTTCTTTACCCGTCCTCTGCTATGATTGTATTCCAGATGATCAGTCTCAGTTCAGTTGAGGGCATTGTATTAATGGCTCTTCGCTGTCTAGCTGCCAGGCTGTGATCTTGATCGACTTTGACACGTTTTTGGCTTCTTCGTCGGTTTTATGTTACCCTCGGACGTGCGCCTTATTGCAGTTATCAGTTTCAGATGGACTGTTCCCGGGGGGGGGGAGACCGTCCTCTTAGTTGATCTTTTAGAATACGTTTCACTGGTAAACTAGTCCCAAAACGATATCACTTTGGGAAAACCTAACCACTCAACAGACTCGTTCAGATGTTCTCTTCAGAAGGGACTGATTGCATGCGTTATGCTATCGATTCGTTGGATCATCTCATAGCACTATGCTTCAGGCTTTATACTTCTAATGAGTATGTTTGATTGCTTGCCCTCAGCTCATGCAAACATGATGAATCAACTGTTCGACTTGCTACGAGTCTTTCCGACCAGTCTGGAACACGCCGAAGTTCGACTTCGTGCTTGGTGGCATTTTATCTGCCGACTACCGGGAGAGTTGTTGGATGAAGGTTTTAAACGGGTAAGTTTTTGTCACGTACGTGATTGGAAAAGAATGTGGTGCGGATCATCATAATTCCCAACGTCCTGCCAGTCATGCCTCCGCTGACCTAAACAATCGACCAATAAGTTGCAACAATTGAGAGTTGGTAAACACTAATAAAGGTGCCGATCGTTCAGCTGTAGTATCGTTTTCAGTGTCCAGTTGCTATGCTTCTTGGTGGAAGCACGAGGGCTGAGCTAATGCCATGTTACCGAAGCTTAGACAGAAGCAGTCGAGATGCTAAAGCCGAACCACGAACCTTCCGGTCAGTAGACTCGCCCCTCAATCAGTGAACTATCCCGGACTCAAGTTAGAAGGCAAGTTGAGAGAAAGGGCGATGCTGGGTTTGCTGATTTAGATCAGCATCCTTGTGTGTAATATGTTTGTCATCGCCCATGACATCCTGCCCGGAATATTTCGAAATATCCCCAACCGGTAAGGTTTTCCACTTGCTCCCCCCACCCCATCCCGTCCTGACACAACATCTACCGGCGTTTACAAGTTGTGTAATCAGTGATTGCACAACAATGGGGGACGAGATGGCTCAGTGGTTCAAACCCACCTCTGCATCTCGACCTTTCCCGTCTATGCTTGGGCAACCTGGCAGTATCCCAGCCCTCGTGCTTCCTTTGGTAGGCATGACAGCCAGACACCAAAAGAGTGTTGCAACTGAACGATTATCTAATTTTAACAATAAACTCAGTTGACCGGGTTATTTCTTTTGAATCTATGAATGTACCTACGAGCTTAACAGTCTAAGCTTCTAAATTATGTGGTTGACCGCTATAACTTTGTCAATGATTGGCTGTTCACGCAAGTCTCTCACTGACCTGAATGAAGCCTATTTTCACAGCCTGTATTTCAATGCATCCGATTCTAAGTGCGTTCACTCCTCGAGTGACTCGAGGAGATGATTGTTGGAAATGCTTTGTTTTTTGTACACTATGCTAAATTGCTTTTTCCCGCTATTTTTCAGTTTATTTCTCCGTTTCTGGCTAATCTACTGGGCCGGTACCTGAGTATCAGTGCCCCGCTGGGCGATCGTAAGTGTGAATAATTGTTTTCCAAAGTTTTCGGTTGTTCCGAGCTTGTCTGGTAAACTGTAGGGGTTTTGCTTTCATTAGTACATCGCCGGTTCCATCTGACGGCTCATTCAACAATTCTCTCCATGTCTGGTGTAAGGAGATCGGGGAATTTCGATAGAGATTCCTTTCCATAAAAGAAGTCAATCTTTATAATGCACCACTCATAAGGTTGCTGAAAACTCCGCGACAGCCCACGAACAGATTTGCCCTTCTTGGGGCTCATCAGGAAGGCGCAGTTTCCGAGTTTCCGTCAACCTTATGTTCTACTTGAAACCAAATTGCACGAAATCAGCGAAATACACTCATTTGCAAACAAATTTGGTTTTGCGAGAGACTCACCTGGAACCAAGCTGAATCTGTCGTTCGTGATGTTTCCAAGCAACTGAATGTGGTGCACCAGGCCGCCTCATGTTCCAGTTGCTACGATATTTGAGAAATCGCGATACACGTAATGCAATACTCATAAAGTTGCTGCTTAAAAACATCACAAAACGAGAGAATCAGTTGGGTTCCAGTTGAGTCTCTCGAAAAACCAAAATGTTTTTTGCAAATTAGTGTATATTCGCTAATTTCGTGCACTTTGGTTTCAAGTAGAACATAAGGTTGGGGGAAACCCGAGGACTGCGCCTACCTGATGAGCCCCAAGAAGGGCGAAACCGGTCGTAGGCTATCGCGGGGTTTTCAGCAACCTTATGAGTAGTGCATTACGAAAATATATATGTATCGCGGTACCTCGAATATTGTAGTGACTGAAACATAAGGCGGCCTGGTGCAGCATATTCAGTTGCCTGGAAACATCAAAACCGAGAGGTTCAGCTGGGTTCCAGGCGAGTCTCTCGAAAAATCAAATTAGTTTGCATATAAGTGTATCTCGCTGAAGTCAGATGTTGCATTCATCACTGAAAATGATCAAATCCACTCACACTACCATCAATGTGTAAGTAGCTCAGAGAAAGAATAATCTCACAAAATGAATGAAACTTTATCTGAAAAATCTTCACTCGAGGAACTGGTCACTACGTGATCACGTGATATGGTTTCCGTGATTGAGTGGCACTATGTCCTTTCTCACTACAAGCTAACGACATTGCTGCTCGGTTACTCAACCGAACGATTGAGTGTTCAAATTGCTAGATGGCAGATTATGGGTTGGAAACTTCCTGGAGATGGTGGTTCAAAGAAAGATTGAGACAGCTGTACAGTGCTTCTCGGCTTTCCATTATAGATTGACTTCACTCAGGGGACAAATGTTCGTTGAGACTCTCTCTCCAAAGCAACCTTGTAGATGTGTGTTCGCAACTTTTGAGCTGTCCATCTCTCCATTAGACGACCACCTCAACTCGATGGTTCTTTTGGTTGTTCCCAGGTTGTATTAGTATCCCAAATCGTGGAATTATATGCTCACAGGGCGTGCTGATCCAGGAAAGTTTATTAGAATGTAGCGTCAAAATGCAGAGGAATGCTTTGGGGACATTGCGTGTTGTGTGAAATTTATGTATGCGTGAAGCTTTGTTTTTACCCATTTCTAATCTAGACTATCAAATATTCATGATCAAAGTTTTCTGCATCCCCTTTCTAGCCCAACTGCATCGGTATAAGCTTAGCGATGGCAATGCATACGAGGGTAATTTTGAGGCATTGGAACTGACGCAGCATGTTTTCAACTGCCTTTTTCAAGGCGCTAACTTGAATCTGAAGCTGTTGGACCACGGTGAGTGCTGTGTGTTCGGTTCTTACGCTACTCACCTTTCGTGTATTCTTTCTCCCCCGATGCTAACCAACATGAGATGGTCATGTGATAGATGGATATGTGTTGAAGATGGAGGATTCTCAAGTGCTTCCGTATCCACCCTTACTTCTCTTACGGATTCTCAGTTGACATATTATTGGATACTGGTGGATGGACAAATGATCTTGATTCATTCGAGTTACTGGTGGCTTCACTGGAAATTGAAATCCAATGTGTACACTGACGATTCACCTAAACGACAGCTTCGTTACAGCAACTCAGATCCCAGTATTCCTTCCCTCTCTCCCCTACCGGGTCCGCTTTAGTTGGCGCTTTAGTACGGCTGGTAGACCCGTGTTTCGAAATGTTGAGCTTTATTTGACTCCTGTTATCAACTTGTGGATCGTCAGGCACTATTGCGGTGTCTGTGAAGCAAAGATGTCCCCCATAAATTCTTGACCCCCATTAAGGCGCTGTACGCCAACTCCCGCGGTCGTGTGAAGGTCTACAGGAAGCTCTCGTCTGAGTTCACCACATCAAGTGTTGTCCGACAGGACTGTCCTCTCTCACCTTTCCCCTTCAACTTCGTCATTGATGTGACCAGCCAGCCTACCAGCCTCTAATGCCTGTGAGGTCGATGTGCTCGCAAGGAGTTTGCTCACAGATATCTTCTTGGATCTGACCTCGTGGTAATGTAAACAATATTAAATGATCTAAATAATTTTGCCTCACGGTTCGGCATGCGCTTCAAACCTGCAAAGTGTAAAGTGCTACTGCGAGATTGCGTGGGCTCGAACCCTAGCCTAATGCTTGCGGATGAATCGATCGAGCTAGTAGACAAACTTGTTTACCTGGGCAGCTGTATCGCTCCCGGTGGTCTCACGAAAGATGAAAGTTCCACCCGGATTGGGAAGGCCAGAGCAGCTTTTGCGAACCTACGTCACCTGTGGCGTAGACGTGACATCAGTTTCTCTGTCAAGGGTCGAGTTTACAATGCTGCGGTGCGCTCCATATTACTATATGGATCAGAAACCTGGCCGCTGCGCGCCGAGGACGTCAAAAGACTTTCAGTGTTTGACCATCGATGTCTTCGGAGCATTGCCCGAATCTGGTGGGAACACCGGATTAGGACTGCTGAAGTACGTCGAATGGTATTCGGGAGAAATAACTCACCCTCGATAGATGAACTGATCACAGTGCATAGGTTGCGCTGGCTTGGCCACGTGCTGTGTACGCCAGTCGACCGACTTCCTCGAAGGGCTCTTTTCGCACAACCACGTGAAGGGTGGAAGAGAGCCAGAGGTGGTCAAACAATGACTTGGCAGCGAAGTATAAAAGCCGTTACCAGCAAACGCAGCTGCGCTGGTCATTGCCTGGGTGGGGATCCCGAGACGGTCCATACCAATGGTTGGAGACATTGTCAGACATGGCCCAGCCGCCCCCTCAATGGCGCTCGTGTATCTAAGCTATTGCCTTCAATGCATAGCTTCCCCCACTTGACAGCCCACTGACAGTGCTGGATTTTGTGCACCAATTTATCGTCTCCCGCCTCCAATGCGCACCTACCTACCTACACCCCCCCAACTCATCAGTGAACGCAACTTTGGCATCTACAACCACTGTACGACGAGTACGCGGTTATTACGGCTGACAATGATGATGATGATGAGTGAATAGGCAATTGGTTTATCAAGTTTCATAACCATCTGTCTGTCTTCCTGACGACCTTCTGGTTTGTAAGAATTGTATTTATCCGCCCGATGGCTCTCAATTTGGATGTCGATACCATGTTGGGATTTTCTAAAACTGGTCACATCTCTGTAAAAACACTCGAATCCGTGGTTTGGTAATTGTCGGACGATTTCTGTTGGCTTTGTGATCGGGGCGCATATTGCCGACTCGAGGTTCCAACCTTTTCGACTGCTCTTGTTTATGGGCAATCTGACGGTATTTCAGCTCCGGCGCCTTCAGGTCACATAACGGCTATGAGCCACGAGAAGTAATCTGGATGTTCATCTATAGTTGGATTGCCTTACGTAATGGAAGACTGGGTATATCAGGTATCGTACCTTCCAATTCCAAATTTATCGGCTGGCGATACTAGCCGATTTAGCGTTCGATAGTCTAAATTGGCTGAACAAAAGGTTACCTTATCGATCCTATTTAGCTCCACGATGTTAGTCTCAGTAAGGATGAAAAGCTTTTGGCGTGTGGTGACATCTTCCCAGAATGTACGCACCCTTGCTTCTCCCTGTGTGTGAGTGACGTATGGCCTGACTGCTGCATCCAGGTTTTGGAAAAGGTCGGCAGTGTGCTAACATTCACCCCTTCAGCAGATTGTTTTTCTCCTTACAGAATCCCAAATCCGATAATAAACTTTTAATGACTGTCTCCCTCTTGAGAGGTGACTTCCAGCTGGTCGCTTGTCAACTTTGAACTCCCTTCTCTGCAGAGGCGATCCCCTTTAGTCGGTTTCTGCAGATGATCTCTCCAGCGAAGTATATCTGCAAGTCAGTCATTGAATTATTCAGTGACCATTTCGAAATGATAATTTACACCAGCACGGATAATTTTCTGCCTCATGTGTCTTCAATGTATGGTTTTGGGAACTGAGTTAGTTCAGTTTCGCTCTGTTTGGTAATGTTGTTTATTTCACTGTGTATAGGGGTCGATGTGGCTCAGTGGTCAAGCCGCGAATTTACCGACCTGTATCGACTTCCCCTGTATAGGCTTAGGCGACCTGGCGGTATCGCAGCCTTTGAGTTTCCTTCGGGCGGCACTGAAAGGGTGTTACGTAAAGCCGAGTTCATCGTCACCATTAGTCAGCTGTTTTATTTCTCTCACTGAAGTTCTGAGGTCTATCACCACATGCATGTGCCAAATGCTTGGTGTGGAACGGGAGACTTGGCACACTTCTGATAGGAGCTGCTATCTCTGCATCTCAGTGGCGTGTAACTCATGTAAAGGGAAACGAACCGTGTATGGGATCGTCCACAACTTCTCGAGTGTTCCTCCCCTTTGTACGATTGTGCGCTCGCCCAATTTACCTAGGTGATAGTAAAGAATGCCAATCTACTTTGTTTCTCTTCTTCAGTACCCTGTTTGCAGGCCGATTCGGATTTTCTCGTTCACAATAGCTATCCGCTTGTGGTGGCGTTACTCCACTGGATGAGACTGATTTGTGGTCATGCTTTCGCTCGCAACTCGAGATTCCCAACCGCCTGTTTACCAGCGCAACCGGTAGATCGCATATGGACAGATTGCATCCGTCTAGTTTTGGAGTCGGCGAGAACTGTGCTCACATCTGACGAGGATAAGAACGGTCAACAGGTGGGTAGGATTTCATGTTCACCGCAGCTGGTACTCCCCAGACCACTGCTGCATAGCGCTCCTCACTATTCTCTTGTTCCGCTTGCAGCTGGGTGTCATCCGGTCACCATCAATGGGAAAGAGACCGGCGCGTTCAAAATCCGTAACCGTCTTAGAACAGGTACTTTGTTGCACTTGCCATCTCCTCACTCCCGGTTGCCTTGGAGCGCTTGACAACAGATCTAATGATCTGCCGGCCGGGTCTCCCGATGCACCACAGAGTCTGGTAAGTAGGCACTTTTGATTCTGCATTCCATCCAATTTTCACTGAATAACTGATCAACATATGGGCCAGAATTCAGGTCTGATGGAGAAAACCGGTCACTGTACCTGGAATTTTTTTTACTAATCCAACTTCTCTGGGTCCCCGTTAATGTTTGACATGACAGTACGCCGGCAAACGGCACAATAATGCAATGTTTGTTCTTGTTCTTTCGCTCAATATTCACTGTTGACCGGTTGTGTGGTTTTGTGCGTTTATCGACTGGTAGTTATTCACTAACCTCTTCTCGCTACGAAGAGACCTAATTTGCCAGCACACTGACGATCCCACAAATTGATAGTTGCGAAGTTCGTGTATGTTGCACTAACCATTGACTGAGGTGTTGCAATGTCATGATTATCTGTCAATTTCGAATCGTAGGTCACGACGAATTCTGTGCTCGGTAGAGCTGTCACGCTTGCGTATCCTCCCATACTACTCCTTTTTCCCTGAATGCTTCCGTGCGCTTCCAGATTACCCACTGTTTATTTCAACCTGATGCACATTTCATCGTTATGTGTTTGATATTGCAGCTTCTTTTTTTATTCTACAGAATATTATTGAGTCACTGACAGAACTGATACTACAGTACCCTGTTCCTTCTCAAAATAAGGTGAGACACTGTTTCACTGCGTTTTTATCCAGTCTATTCGTTGTCTTGCATGTCGTTCCGATCAAATTACAGGCGAAGAACGGTTAGTACCATTCTTCCTTTCATAGAAGATCGTTGTTGAAGCGGCTCATCGATTCACTCCTCCATATTGGTTTACTCTTAGTCGAAATTCTCGTAGTTCGCACGCCCATTCCGTACCGCATTCATGTTCAATCTGATAAAATCGTATCTTCAATTCCCAACAGACGGAACTTTTGTTCGAAATCCTGCTCAAGACCCTGGAATTGGGTGGACAGTGGATCAGGCCAGACACTAAACCTGAATTGTTTGGCACCGATGACCGAGAAAGGTAATGACCGTCCTACACCGCCCTCCCCCTTTGACCCAGGTCATCCTGATTGTTTTGGTTTTTTCACTGCAGTATATTCACCCCCACGTCCCACTTTAGACGGGAGCGTTTCCTGTTGAAATGCCGGTCTATGCTAAAAAGCGGAGAAGCATTGTAGAGCTGTTGCATCCCTGTTGCCCTGTTGTTGAGGGCGAGATGGACCAAGTGGTTAGAGGGAGCATTTCTGAAATGCCGGTCTATGCTAAAAATCGGAGAAGCATTGTAGAGCTGTTGCATCCCTGTTGCCCTGTTGTTGAGGGCGAGAGAGATCAAGTGGTTAGAGCGCGAATTTACTGACCGGAAGGTCCGTGGTTCAAACCCAACCTCAGCATTTGGACTGCTCCTGTCTAGACTCGGGCAACTTCGGACGGCACCTCAGCCTTCGGGTCTCATGACAGCTGTGAACCGGAAGGGTGTTGTAAGTGAACGGTTATGATGTCTAACCTGGAAAAGCAGCACCCTGTGTTTGTTCTAAATTGGAACCCATTTTTTCCTTGTGGGAAAATCGATTGTCGGATGCACCAGGTGGCTTATGATCACACTTGTGCCCATGACTAATGTGATTAACACAGTTTGTTTGTTTTAACCTAGCTGCGGATCCGAATGATTTGTGCCTACTCCCTTTTCTTATTCTCTTGATGGACCCCCGTGAGATAACTGCTACAGCCCTGAGTAGGGTAAAGCAGTACCGTACAGTCTCTGTTATTTAGTAGTCAACTGCAGATCCACTAGCTCAGCTCCGAAAAGTCGTTCAGCTTTAGTGCCCTACTAACTTTGGGTTCTCGGAACATGCACGCGAAGCGCAGTATCACTGTCTGAAAAATCTTTACATTACCCTCAGGCAGCTACGGTCTTCTCGTTAACGTATTTGTTCTGGTCACATTGCATGACGTGCCCTCGTATCACTGACCTTCAAACTGGAACAAACCAGTTGTTGATTCAAATATTTTCACTATCATTCATACCTAGACCCTTATTTCCAACTCACCCCTCAAAGCGGAAGTTCTGACGAGGCAGTCCGTTTATTACACAAGCTCGGATTTTGTGTTCATTCTACTCTTGTATGCCCAGGTTTTGTAGGCTTGTTATTTGGTTCCTATCAGGATGAAGCGAGTTTGGTAGATGCTGACCGCTTATATACACTTTGGTGTGCAAATCTATCGCAATCTCCTACCCTGTTTCGCTACCCGCTTTAGGATTCTTCGTCGTTGGTGTTCGCTCTCAATCCGGCTTATCAATTTGGATCCGCGTTTGGATATGGGCGAAGCGGATGCTGTCTCCACACATTCCCGAAAGGGTGGTGAATTTCTCAGGCTTTTGCGTCAAGTACTCTCCGCACTCCTGCCGGACTGTGTTCAATTGGCAGCCGCCAAACATTCCTCCACAGACTACGGTAGTCAGGATTCGACAATGAGCGTTTTTCTGGGCCAGAGTATGTTCATTTAAATCGGTCACCCGCTTGTGTGTGTGTGTGTGTGCTAAAACACTCCTTCGTTTTCGTTACGCGATGGTGGTGGTGGGTGTGCACAGTATTCTAATGCGAACTTCAGTCGCCT